CTGTTATTTTGGGGGTCGCGGGCTGAAAAGTTTGGGAACCCCTGAATTAAAGGAATACAAAAAATGAATCACTCGGGTAAATCTATAATCAATAGCAGTGAACTGTGCTGCAAGGACAATGTATGACAATACCGGTGTCAGTGTATTGATAATGTTCCTGAAGAGAGTATGTCACAATGAGACGTAGACTCTGTACCTTGTTAAACTTGTCATACGAGGGCTCCCCGATCTGCGGAGGGTTGACCACCAGGTCCATCAGAGCCTGTCCAGGAACAGGAGGACACAGACGGACAGACACCAGCTTAGTGAGCTGAGCCCTCACCTCCTCGTCCAGGTTGATGATCTCCATGTAGCCTCCACGGAAGCCGCACCTAGGAGGAAAACATAAAGGTGTGATACAGAAATGAAGTAACAGTCCAAACTAACTAAAGAGAAAGATTCTTTGAGTCTTGTAACATGCAACTGGAAAGAATGCAGAAGAACTGACATTTACAGCCATTTTTAAATCCAGGATACAAATATTTCTACGTTCATGTGCCTTCTTTTGAGCGACCATGTTTTAACAATGGTCTAATACTTATAATCCTTTAATTCAATTACCTTCCGTTTTACAGAACTTTTTAATGTACTTTGTGCTGTCCTTTAATCCTATTTTATGTATGGGTCTTTGTGTTTTTATTTATGTAAAGCAAACTGAATTGACCCCGTGAAATACAAGTAAACAAATATAAAAATAGACCATGTTACAGTAAATAGGCAAGGCAAGGCAATTTGATTTATATAGCACTTTTCAGCACGTGGCGATTCAAAGTGCTTTACAGATTAAAAGCAAATACATACATTTAAATATATAATCATTTGTTATTTTTACAAGGTAAGAAAGATTGATCCCAGAATGTAGTACAGTAAAATTGACTTACTCTCCCATGTAACACTTGGAGGTGGAGTGAAAAGATACCAGTTCCACTATATCCGAGTACTCCGGCCCCATGTCGAACAGAACCTTCTTGAAGGAGTGGAACTGGCAACCCTCAGCGTACACATTGTCCTGGTACACCTGGAAGATAAAGTCAGAATGACAGCTGTCACAGGGCTCAGAAAACATTAGAGCAGGCAGGTGTTAAAGGAGATGCAGAGAGACAGTACCTCATCGGCCATGAGGAAGAGGCGCTCCTTTGCAGCAAATCGGATTACATCCTCAATGCACTGTCTGCTCTGAACCTGACCTGTGAATGAGAGAGGAGGCTCATTAAGGAAAGGGGTTTGAAAGGAGGGTCAGCCAGGAAGTTACATCCTCTTGCTGCCATCTAGTGGCTCTTATTGAAGCAGTGCATGGAGAGTTGGGTTATGGAGATACGTAGAAGGAAACTAAATCATGAGTTCATCTCATGCAGAAAGGATCTGATTTTAGGTTACGGTTATTGGTTATGTTCATATACAGTACTTATTTGATTATTAAAATGTAAACCGATCTTTTTCATATGGGCGTTTTAGAGTTGTGCCCCCTAGATCAGGTCTCTAGTAATTGTGTGCTCAAAGTGCACCAGATTGAAGCATTTTACTGTTAAAATGTTCCAAAAAAATCTTTCCGGGGGGTCATACCCCCGGACCCCCCTAGAGGATGTGACGTCCACCCCCCAATTCAAACATGTTCATACAATACTGAATACATTTGAAGCCATTTTGACGTCTATTACCTATGTCAATAAGTTTCTGTTTTTGCAGTGTATTTGTCTTTTGTAGAGATTTTTCAGTTATTCTTTACATATAAAATGTCGCCTAAAATCTCACCTAGGGCAGCAAATTGTCTAGAACCGGCCCTGGTGCTAGGCCTCAAGAGCCTTTCTCATGCTGACACATAGAAACAAATTGGCGGGGCGCACTTCGCACGCGCACACACTAAACAATTCCACGCGCTCCGCGCTCACATTATGCTGGGCCCACGTGCCTTAGCACTGCTGCTATGACTCCATCCTAGGGGAAACACTGAGGCTTCAATTAACTTTTGATTGTCTATAATTAACTATAAACAAATATCGGCGTTTTAAAACTACGTTTATATATGTACTTATTTTTACGGTTTGCATATGAGGTGGTCCGCGAAAATCCTTGATAATAAATAGTGGTCCGCATAAACAAAAAGTTTGAGAACCCCTGCCCTAGTGGTTAAGGATACTAACCATATAGCCTTAACAACTTTAAGCAGATTCAAGCAACAAAAAAAATAGATTTGATTTTGTTTTTGCATAGCCCTTTCAGCCCAATGTTTTTTTGTCTCTTTCTCTGTAAATGTTTCATAAAAGGTCCCAAAAATTATCAATAAAAGCACTTTAATCTACAAACTACATTAGAGATAATAAGTGGTTGCTAAATTGTCACAAAAAGAAAAATAATTGTGACTTAGTTAATAAGTTTACAACACCATCTTGTGGTCTTTTTGGCAAATTTATTTTAATCAAACTACCTATTTCCAAGGTAAAATAGGTCATATTTAACTGCTAAAACATAGCAAATTAAGAATATTATTGTTATATTGTATGGTTTATCTCCTAAAACCAACAACTTGATTATCAACTTGCTGAACAACAGAATTCAATATTATATGTGAAAATGCTTGAATTTACTATGGGTCTAATAATCACGTCGAACAAAACAATGAAAGGTCTCTTTACCGGTGGGGTTTCCAGGGTTGATGACGCAGAGGGCTCGGGGGTTGCAGTGACGCCGGGCTTCTTCCAGGGAGCGCTGCAGCTCGCTGAGGTCCATACTCCAGCACTTTTCCTCATTAAGGTAATAGTTGACCTGCACGGCGGCCAGTTCAGCCAGCGCAGCCGAGTACAGCGGATACTGAGGAATGGAGATCATGACCCCCGTACGGGTCTCACCTTCGCCACACACCAGGAGCTTCAGCATGGTCTAAAAGTGCAGGATATGAAAAGATATGTCAGCTGTATGTTTTAGAATTGTAAGTACAAGGTAGCTTTGTCTGCATGACACTTTCTAGGCGTATACAACTGTAGAAAAAGGTCTGAAAAGAAGCAGGTGCCCCAGCTGGTGGTCTCTTTGCTTTTATAACAAATTAAAAAACACATACTGCAATACTACTTATTCACTTTTGTAAACCTTTCAGGACAAAAAAGGAAACTATTTGCTATTAAAAACTACAAAAAGGAAAACACCCTTCTGAAACTCCTAGACACAAAGCTCTTAGATAACCTATGACAAGGGGTTGTGAGTATGTTATTACTGGCTTTGAAGGGTCACACGCCAGTAATGTTTGAGCATCAGTGACCTAATTGCAGCACTTTTTTTGCACACATAAGCATTTATTCTCCTGTGATGTGTCCTTTAAAAAGAGTGAACCAACTCATGAAGGGTTCACTCCAGAATATTTGTTTAATTTGTTCAATGTTGTGAATAAATTCCCCACAAAATAACTGAGAAATTAGGGAGGTTTGAGCTTACAAACAAACACAATTGAAAGTACAATTGAGACACAAAGTCAGTTTAAAAGATGAGACATGTTTAGTACCACAATGCCGTCGCTGGCCCCTGTGGTGAGAAAAATGTTGTCTGGGTCGCAGGGCACACCGCCATCTCTTCGCTCAATGTAGCGAGCCACATCCTGCCGCACTGACTCTATGCCCTGACTGGCACTGTAGGAACCTGAGGGAGATTTCAATGGAGACAAAACAACTTAAAGCTTTAACATAACAAAGCTAATCCCACAGAATGAAACCCACGTACAAAGAGAAAGGTGATAATTGGGGATGTATAAAGAGGTTGTGCTTATGTAAGAAACCAACGCACCCATACTGTTCCCTCCACAGGACTGCAGAATGCGTCGTGCTCTACTTTTAGCATCCTCTGGGAATGAGCTGTCATTCAGCA